GACGTACGGGATCTCTCGCCAAACGTTGGGGTAGGTGCGACACTGTTGGGAATCTCGTTTACGTAGGCTCCGGTTGACGAAATTGCGCAGATAGCCGGTTTCTCTGAATACCCGTCGAAGGTATTGCACCTCGGCAACCTTATCTTCTGGTTCGCTGCAGTGCGTCTTAACACCTGTGTCTCTGACGAAAAATCCGCGACGGATTTCGAAACGTCAGGTGAATTAAAGTATTGTCCCAGCGATCGAGTCGTCTTCTCCTCAGTCAACCATATCCCTGTGACTGACTCACACAGGACCATACTATTCCTCCCACTTGATGTCCTTTCAGTTGCTTTCCGCAGGGAGTTGGGTCTAAGAATCGTAGGCCTGGCATACCAGTTGAGCTACCCTTCTTTCAGAGGGAGGAGATCCGGCAGGTAGAAGACGAGTGTTCTTTGCCTGAGCCGCGCTGAACTGCAACGCCAGTGACAACGACCAACCTCTGTCTATGAAAACGTGGTCTGCACTCAGAGCTCCTCCGATTTTAGCAATGATTACACTTGGATATCTTTATAGACTGTGCTTGATATCTCTGCTTGCAGTAACTTTGCCACGGAAGAGAAGAAAGCTGACGAGCAAGTGGATACTTGGCCACCTTGCGTTCACCGACACAAACAGGCAGTTTAATAGAACCATATCCTAAAAAGGATGCTGTAAACTTTGAAAATTCCAAGCCATCTAGTCAACTTGGCTTAGGAGCATTCGCAATTGCGCGAAGCATAAAACTGCAGCTATACGTTGAATGGACTTGCGTCGGCGGCAGATTCAATAACCTTGGTATCATTGACCAATTTTTGACACCAGTCAAATAAACACTATAGCTTTGAAGCAGATTTAAAAGATCCGCGGCATGAAGGAATTTATTAAAAAGGGGTATTATGACTGACTACGGCTACTTTACTCCGTTAATGAACACATTTAAAGTAAAATTTCCCGGGTATGAATTTGTATATAGCAAATACTGCAAAATTTAATGGATCCATAATATTTCGGGAGCGCTCATCAGTTGCAGCCACTCCAATGCGTTGAAGAGTAACGAATGAGAAAAATACAATATTGAATTGGTTCAGAAAGGTCTAAGACTAATTGGTAAAGTAAGAAGGTTAAAACAAGGTGGAAGGAGAAACAGAGGAAAATGAGTTACGGGAAAAAAAGGGACAGGGGCATGTGTAAATCTGGGAGCCTGTCGTTACCAAGGCAAGGCTAGCTTAACCACATGCTCCAAATGTTTGCATAGGTCCGATTTGGAGCGTCTTATATAGACTGCCTCCATTGGAGTGCCTGCAACTGATGAGCGCTCCCGAAATATTATGGATCCATTAGATTTTGCAGTATTTGCCACATACAAGTGAACAAATTATCTCTAGAATTGTCACGAGTGATGTGATCTACTGTTCTTTAGCTTATTAAACATTTTTATACGTCTGCTTTTAGGAATTGGGTATGAATATTGGCCAGGAGGTTATCAGACAAACGCGCTGTTTAAAATAATTTGAAAACTTACATGATTGCATACTTCTGCATTTGCCGGCAACGGAAGTTCGCAGAAAGTAAGCAATTTCACGTGCGGTTCTTCTGACAACCCGCACGATTCGAATGTAGCAAAACAAAATTATGCCGATGGAAATCAGAAATTCAAAAATGAACATTCCAGCCACGTGTATATAGTTTTTGACATTGGATGCGAGGTAGTCAAAGCTGCAGGATGTCTGAAGTCCATCTGGTATATAGCGACCTGCCAATTAAATTTCAAAAAAATAC